TTTTAATAGGTATAGATAAGGCATTTGAAAAAAATCATTAGTTCATTACTAAAGAAAAAATCTTTTAGTAAAATAGGAATAGAAGAGAATAAAGTTAACATGACAAAAAGCACAAGTAAGCCGATTGCAGCAACTCATTCCTGTAATACCAGCACTTTAGGAAGCCAAGGTGGGAGGATCACATGAGGCCAGGAGTTCGAGACCAACCCAGACAATATAGCGAGACCCTGTCTCTAAGATAAAATAATAATTTAAAAGTGATAGGTAAATAAATAAAAAGTACATTTAAAAAATTAAGCAAATGTGGAAATATTAGAAGTTTGTGCTTCAAAATCTGGAATGAGGCGAGAATGTGCATGATCACCACTCCTTTTTATCCTTAGATGTTCTTGCCAGTATATTAACTTAAGTAAAGCAAATCAATCGCAGAAGGATTGGGAAGGAAACATAAAATCATCACTATTTGCTTATGATATGATCATTTACATATAAAACCCAAAAGAATCTATAAATACTTCATTTGAGAATTTAATAAGGTAGCTCAATAAAAGATTAATATAAACAATAAATTATAATTTCATACACCAGAAACAAAAATAATTAAAAAGAAGATAGTATTTGCCATAGTCTTAGAGGACATAAATTACCTAGGAATAAATCTAACAATAAATTAAATGAATTTATCATTTAACAATAAATGAATTAAAACCATTACAGGGAAAATTACAAACTTTAATGAAGACTCAAACAGTGGAGATATATATCAAGTTCTCTGAAGGAAAGATTCCGTTCTCCACAGGTTAATCTATGGAGCAATTTTGATCAAAATCCGTATTGTTGTTTTGGAAGAAATCTGATAAGCATTTATAAAATTATATGTTATTATTATTTGGAAGAACAAAGAGCCAAGAATAGTCAGGGCATTTCTGAAGACAATTTGGGAGAGGAAAACTTGCCCTACAGATATCTGAACTTATTCAATGCTACAGTAAATAAGGCAATGGCGAAGGCACTGGGGTGTCCATACTGACCAATGCTAGAGAGCCCAGAGTCAGATCCACATATGTATGAAATGTGGACACACGACAGAAATAGCATGTCAGATCAGCAGGGAAGGAAGAGACTACTCAGTAAATGCAACTAGAAAAATGGTTGTCTGTATGAAAACTACATAAAACTGGATTCCTGCTAGTTATCTATTTTGTCTCCCTCAGCCCCAACCTCACTCCTCTGTACTTTTCTCTATGATACTGGCTATAATGTGTGTTTACTCTATTATGTGAGAATATTCAGTTTCATACAGAGGACAAGAAAAGCAGGTAGGTGAAACTCATCAGATGTATTAACTACAGATACAAAGTAAGCAAGTCATTTGTGAGACATAGGCAGAATTCAAAAGATGTGCTAAAAATACAGGATGAGTATCCCTTATCTAGGATGCTTTTTGGATTTTGGAATACTTGCATTACATTTATATGTTGAGTACCCCATTCCAGAAATCTGGAATCCAAAATGCCTCAATGAGCATTTCCTTTGAGTGTCATGTCAGTGCTCAAAAAGTTTCAGAATTTGGAGCATTTCAAATTTCAGACTTGGGATTCTCAATCTACAGTAAGTTAGCAACCTGCAAGACATGTAAAACAGAATGAATGGAATAGACTACAAAAGGACGGAGCAAACAAGAGTGCTACTTACAGGCAGAAAAGGATAGAAAAAAACAAATCATAGGCCATGAGGTATAGATTATGCCACCTTGGGGTTTGTGTCCGTATCATCCCTAAATTGACTACCTACTGGTGGCACCTTCCGGCCCCCCATAAGCTCTACCCAAGAAATGCTGGCAAAAAGGATGGATTCCCAGAAAACTGACAAAGACCTGTGGCCAAGCCTACCTGCCCTTAAACATCTCTCAATAGAATGAATATACCTTGGTTCCAAGCATCTTCCTCACACTGATCCCCTTACTCAATCTCAGTTCTGGTCCTCATAACTACACCACTGCAGAGCGAAACACATGATTGAGGCTGTGAGACTGTGCAGGACTTTTGCCCTGCTTGCATCCCCAAGTGTATCAACCTCCCGTAAATCTGTCCCCTTGGTTCTGGCTCTATGCTTCAAATATATTCCATAACCCTTGTGTTTTGATCATCGTAATTTGGTCTGAGCCTTCCTGATCTGTGGCCTCTGGAATAGGCTGCCTATCATGGAGGCAAACATTGCATCATGGTGACTTACCACAGGACACTGGTTCCCAGACTCCTTTGTCGGCTGATTTCTGGTTAGGTTCTGCCAAGAGGAGGCGCTGGAGGGAGACTAGAAGGTGGAAAGAGGAAAAAAGGGACTTGCAGGTTGTCACTGCATCAGTCCAACAGCTGAATATTTCTACAGCCAAGGATCTCTCCCTGCCAAACTGGAAAGAAAAAAAAAAAAAGAAGTTTGCAATGTGGGAAAAAAGTTTTGGTTCCAAAATATAAAATTGGAAAATCAAAGTTCACAAATTTTTCATTAAATGCCTACAAAACGTCAGCTCAGTCAACTTGTAAACTGCAATTCAACTCTTTAATAGTTTCATGTAAATGTAATAAAGTTTGAATTATAAGAACAAAATGAATATATTTTAAAATTCGAATTATAACAGCCATTTTCCTTACTTTTTTAACATCAAAGACATTATATTTGACATAGGATGAGGGCCTCTTTTAGGTTGATTGACATGATACATGTGTATTTTGGAGAGGGGTGAGGTAGGGGATGTTTAATAGTAAAAGTGGTCATGACCTCCAAGGGTCTATAAAGGGCCTGAGACAGTCTCTCATTCAGAGTATTTCTGTTGTATCCTCCACTTTGTGCAGTGTAGCTAACATCTTTTAGCAACAGCTTACGAAGCAGGAGAGCAGAGAATTGAGGAGCAGCCCAGAAAGGCTAGAACTTTGAAGGGACTACACAGCTCAACTCTATCTGGCCTGTGAGGAAATGTAAGGCTGGGGTCCCTTGGTGCCCTTGTGTCCAGCGGCCAGAACCTGTGTTTAGGGATGGCTGGGGCAAGGGTGTGTGTGTTTGGGGTGATGAGTCTCAGTGACCCTGGAAAATATGAAGAGTGGCCAATCATTGTCTAGCTTTGTGGTTCTGGGGCTATCCATAGCCTTGCAAGCCAGAGAAGAAACAGCCCTGGTCTCTCAGAGGAAGGGATTTACCAGCCTTCCATATCCTCTACGTCTATTTTTCCTCCCTGAAGCCTGACATCCACTTCGCCCTTGCTTCTTGTACCCAGCATGGGTTCTTTCTATACCAGGGCTTCTTGAACCTCAGTGTGCATGAGTCATGGAGAATACTTATTCAAAGTACAGATTCTGACCCTCACCCTTGATTCTGTGTAGACCATGCCTTGAGAAAACTCTGCTCCATAGAATCATTCTCTCTCTCTTTGCTCCCAAAGCTAGTTAAGAAGTTCGGATACTAAAGAAAGACAAGTTACTTCCCCTGTTTCCAGTGGTCCAGCTATGGGAGCCAAATAGTATTTAAAGTAACCAGAAAAAAAAATCTGGAAATGGAAGTTAAAGTGGACCACATTAGCTTTCATATCTAGCAGGGATTACAACTCCACATTTGTTCGCAACCGCACACTGGGTGCCTGAAGCAGACCCAGTGGCCCCTGGAGCTGAGGAAGTTGAGGGGAGTGGGGGGCCTGGCAGTGTTGGAGCTAACTCCTTTTCCCTGTTAATTGGGAGTCCCAAGGACAGATGCCTGATTTTAAAATGCGTGTATGCCGCTCTTCCTGTCCCCAGGCCCTTGACATCACCATGTGATCAGTTCTGAATCACCATTTGCACTTTGAAACAGATTCATACCATTCTGTTATATTCAATCAAATTAGCATATCAGGCCTTTGCTCTGACTGTGTGATGAAAGACTTTGTTCCCTGTTTAAAGGAATACTAGGCAACAAGACCAGAATAAGGAGATTTTGGTTTTGTTTTTAGACCTAGATCCTTCTCCGGTGCAATCCCAATGCATAGTAGGTTTGAGATGGACCATAAAGGTAAAGCTACTTTTATAATGCTAGAGTGTCTGCAGAGAAATGAGAAATGACCACAGAGAGTGCTGGCCGGCTTCTCTTTTTTCCCTTTAGGCTTTGTGGCACAGACTTCACGGAAGAGGCTGAACTGAGAATAATTTCATGATTCCACTCTGGATATCAGAGCAGCCTCTCCCAGGTTATGCCTTATCTGATCCCCCACCTGGTGCCATCATCTGCCCAGGCTGGCTTCTCTCTTCTCCGATCTCTACATCCCCAATTCAAGACTAGGCTGCCTACCCCACTCAGTTTCTTCTATTCAGTTCACCAACACCCAGAAGAACTGGTGAGGAACAGGAAGCTCAAGGATCTATCAAGTGGTGGAGGATGGAGTCACAGAAAGTCCTTTTTCTGATGGGACAGCAAGGTGAAATCCCTAGTGGCTTAGACCCGGGGCTGGAGAGGGGCTAACTGGAGAGAAGGCAACCAGGGAAGTCCTTTTTCTTTAGAATGATGGTGGTGGGGAACTATGGAAGGTCACAGGAAAAGTTAACACAAGTTAACAAAAAGTTTACACAAAAAGGTTTGCAGGAAAAAGCAAGCAAACAAGCAAGAAAGCAAGCAAGCAAGAAAGAAAGAACCTCCAAGAATGGTTTGGACAGCTAAAATGAATACTTATAGTCACGTATACCTGCTCACTCCTGATGCTTCACTCACAACACAGCACAGGATCTTGTGACCTATCACTAAATGTGTCACATTGTGGTTAAGTTTTACCTGATTAACGAAATGCTCAAACTTCTAAACTGAGGTCCTTACAGTAGATTCCTTTTGCAAGATTGTTACTAGCTTACAACTTAAAAATAAAGGAAAATCAAAAGGAAAGAGAAGGGGGAAAAAAATCGGAGGAAACTTGCCCCTGCCCTGGCCACTAGCAAGACTGCCACAAAGGGGTTAAAAGTTAAGTGGAAGCGGAGCTTGAAGAAGTGGGATGGGGCCTCTCCAGAAAGCTGAACGAGGCATCTGGAGCCCGAACAAACCTCCACCTTTTTTGGCCTCGACGGCGGCAACCCAGCCTCCCTCCTAACGCCCTCCGCCTTTGGGACCAACCAGGGGAGCTCAAGTTAGTAGCAGCCAAGGAGAGGCGCTGCCTTGCCAAGACTAAAGGGGGAGGGGGAGAAGAGAGGGAAAAAAGCAAGAATCCCCCACCCCTCTCCCGGGCGGAGGGGGCGGGAAGAGCGCGTCCTGGCCAAGCCGAGGAGTGTCTTCCACTCCGTGCGTCTCTCTAGGAGCGGCGCGGGAAGGATGCTGGTCCGCAGGGGAGCGCGTGCGGGGCCCGGGATGCCGCGGGGCTGGACTGCGCTTTGCTTGCTGAGTTTGCTGCGTGAGTACCGCCCGCGCGCCGCGGCCGCTTGGCTTCGCCGCGGGGAGGGTCGAGTCTCTCTGGGAGGCTGAACGACAGAGCAGAGTCTCACCGAGAGAAGGGACCCCTGCCCAATCCCTGCACTGCCGCCCACTGCGGCTTCCCCTGGGGCCAGCGCCTCAACTGGGAGCCGACGGGGGTGGGAGGGGAAGGGAAGGCCACCACCCCGCGGGTGTGCGTTTGCCGAGGTGCGAATCGGTCAGCACGACTGGCTCTTGGACTGAGATAAAGTGCTTTGGAGATGCCAGGGTCTCTTCTGGTTGCCAGAGGTGCGGAGGGCGAAGTTGCAGCCAGAACCGGGAGACTGGGGAGGAGAGAAGCAGGAAAAGTTTTGTGGCTCTTGGTTGATTCGGAAAGTATAGATCCGGAGCTGATAGATGGGAAGGGGCGGGGGTGCCCAACTTGCACCGGGATTGGGAGAGCCAGAAGTGTACATTAAGGAATTCGAGGGAAGCGAATCAGGGATGAGGCTCCAGGTCCCAGGCCACGGGAGTTCGGAATGAACAGTCCGTGAAAAGGAAAAACAAAACCAACCAACCAAACAAAATCCTTGCATTTAAGATTAGGAAGCTGAGTTTCAATTCCCGCTCCAGCAACCCCACCACGGAGGTAGAGGTAGACAGAATTTGCTCTGCACCCAGCCTCGCTCGCCTTACCAAAAACCGTCACCCTTGCACAAACTCAAAACTTGTTACCTTTTGGAGTTTTCTTCCTCTACCCCCGCTCCAAGTTCTAAAGCTAGTAGATGGGTTAGAACACTCTCCCCACTCACCTACACATACCCTTACTCTTAAGGTCTTGCTCTCACTTTGGGAAAAAAAAAAAAAAGGCTTCGAGTATACATATTTATACTCGATTAATTTCCTTGGGGAATGACATTCTCCGCCTCATCTCTTTGCACTTGGAAGGTTTGAAACTTCTGAAGCTTTGTACATTGCTCTCCCTTTTGCTTACAGCACTCCAGGGCTCCCAATTCTGCACTCTCACTACATCCTAAAGGCCACCCACTATGGCCCTGCAGAGTGACCTGGACTAGACCTCTTTGCTCCCAGTCTCCTCTGTTGTCCCCCTTTGGGTCCACCCAGCTGGGGAGAGCTGTCCCTGGGCTGGAGGAAGCTCCGAGTGAAGTTTTGAGTTGCCCTGTTTGGCAGTCCTGGACATGTGCTTCGGAGCAAGGAAAAGCTATCACTGAGGTTTCAAAACCCTAGAGTGGGTGCTAGACTAGGCCCTCATAACAGGGGTGAGTTGGCCGGGCGCAGTGGCTCATGCCTATAATCCCAGCACTTGGGGATGCCGAGGCGGGTGGATCATGAGGTCGAGAGATTGAGACTATCCTGGCCAACATGGTGAAACCCCATCTCTACTAAAAATACAAAAATTAGCTGGGCATGGTGGCACACACCTATAGTCCCAGCTACTCAGGAGGCTGAGGCAGGAGAATCCCTTGAACCCAGGAGGTGGAGGTTGCAGGGAGCCAAGATCCTGGCACTGCACTCCAGCCTGGGAGACAGAGCGAGACTCCGTCTCAAAACAAAAACAAAAGCAAAATATAGGGGTGAGTTGGCCAGTGGTGCAGATTCCAATCAGATGCTCCATTCTCCTTTGGCTACACAGCTCATGATGACCTGGTCCTCAGCCGAATGAGGTCCACCCTTTTCTTATTTCCTCAGCTGGTGGGTGTCAGTCTCGCCTTGGCCTGCTGAGCTTGGGGTTTGGGGAGCAACACAACCTCTGCAAAACTTTGGACTGATATGTTGAGAATTCTATATCCCAGCTTTGGGTGGGGAGGGATGGGGCACAAGGCCCCATTCCCAGCCTTGCCAGACTACTTGAGCCAATTGTAGTTTTATGCCCTTCCCAAGAGCTTTCTAGGGTTTTTGCTTGGATTTGTTTTGTTTTGTTAATACTAGGAGTCATTTTCTGTCCTGGGATACATTGTGGGATAAATAAGATAACTGAGTGTGCCTTGAAGTGCTACCATAGGGTCGTTGCAGAAATGCTATTATTATTGTAAAATTTAGGGTAGAGGGGATTTCTGTGGTTTGTTTTCTCATCATTTACCCCAACAAATAGCTTGTTCTGGAAAGTTCTTTTTTCTGTCCCTTTGAGAAGGTGGCATAGGCACAGGCACTGCAACTAACCAGAAGTGGGCTGTCTTTGTTGGAAGTGGGGTAGATCACAGAGCAGAATCGGGGTGGGGGACTCAGGGGCCACCAGGCAGCACTGACAGAGTACTGGCTGGAACAGGAAGCCTTTCAGGTAATTAGGGAACCCCTTTGTCAGGCTCAGGGTATCTATTTCCTCCAAGCTTTCCAAGGCCTGTCCCTCTCCTCACTCTAACAACACCCCCAGGCCCTCCCCATCGCATTCCTCTTCTTCCTTTGGGTCCTTCGTGCCTGCTGACCCCCACACCCATATCCTGTCTAGGGCTACATGTAAGAGGGGAAAAATAAAAGGGAAAAGAATTTTATCAGCTATTTTCCAGAGGGGAGAGGACTCCACCCTTTGAATCTCTGCCATATGGCGACCGAGGAGGAGCAGCCTTGGGGACCTCTGACTAATTCAGTGGTCCCCAGTGCTCCCCACTTATAGACCCAACCCAGCTGGCACCACCTTTGCAGATGCATGTCTACAGCAGCATTCCTGTTTGGCTGATAAAACATGCAGGGGCCTGGGGCCTCTTTTTCTTATCCCTTTGGCTCCACCTCCTGGACCTCCTCATTCCCTTGTCCTTGTCTCCTTCCTTCGCAATCTTTGTCTCAAAAAGCTCAGGGCAAGAAGTGCCAAACTGCAGCAGATAAACTCAGCTGCAGAGTCCTACAAAAATAAATAAAAATGAGGAACAAATTCCACTTCTTACGGTTGGTCTCATTGCCTGATTTCCTTTAGACCCTGAGCTGGAGGGACTGGGTTTACTTTCAGGGCTGGATGGTTACCCAACTCCACCCTCAGGGTACTTGGGCCTCCCTCTCTCATTGACTTTGGTTGATCTAACTAAATGGCTTGCAGTGTGGAGAACTAAAAATGAGAAGGTATGGAAAAAGAACACAACACCACCCTCCAAAAGAAAATTCTCACAGTCGCCAGGGCTGCGAGAATTCCGTATTTTTCTGGGCTTTGACTTCTCTAATGAGAACATTCTCTTCCCTCCTTAGCTAATAAATGAAAACATATTATTTATGAGTTTTAGTCCCAGAGCCGAACTTTGTGCTAAGGAGAAAGATGCATGCATGTTGGAAAGATAGAGAGACAAACAAATAGGGATGCATACAAAGGTGTACTTCCTAGTACCTGTGCTCTTGGAGCCCATCATGGAATGAGTCACTTCCTTCAGATGCAATGGAAAAGGCTTTTGGGCTTAACTGGGAAGTAGGCTTCTTCCTGATTTGGAAAAGTGAAATCAAACCTGATACTTCTTAGACAGGAGTGGCATCTCTCGGCAGCTGATTTAAGAAAATGTCTTCAGGGGTCTTTGGGTGACAAAGCCTAGAACCCCAGACAACCCTGGATGAGCAAAGGCAGGCAGGAACTGAACTGCTTAGCAAGATAAAATAAAGTAAAGCCTTCTGTTTGCTCGGGCCTAAGAGACACAAACCTGAAAGGACTCCGGAGCCCAGGAAGAGCATATAAAGGGCGGCGAGGTACCTAGAGTCATAGCAGGATAGTGATGGGTGGAGAATGGAAAAGACCTGGGAGGAAAATTTTTTTTTTTTAATACATGGCTTCATTAGCACAGTAATGTCTAATATTTCAAGGTTATGCCATTGTCTCCCCTGGGTTGCCCTGTAATCTCGTTCCATGCCCTCAACCATTCAGTAAATATTGGCTACACACACTAGCCTTGAGTTAGTGACTCTCTGGGGAGAGTAAAGAAAAGAGTGCTTGGCTAGCTTACGGTGAAGTGGTATACTAGTGCGGACAGGGAGCCATTGAGCCATGGGGCCACAACCCAGGAGTCTGTGGTGCTGGTAAAATGGAGGAACAGGTGGCAGAGAGAAATGTAGGTGCCCAGAGAATCTTCAAAATAATCAGGGTTCCACAGTAAGTGGATGGGGTCCAAGACATGCTATTTTATTTATTTATTTATTTATTTATTTATTTATTTATTTGAGACAGAGTTTCTCTTTTGTTGCTCAGACTGGAGTACAATGGTGTGATCTCGGATCACCACAGCCTCTGCCTCCCAGGTTCAAGCCATTCTCCTTCCTTAGCCTCCTAAGTAGCTGGGATTATAGGCAGCACCGCCATGCCCAGCTAATTTTGTATTTTTAGTAGAGACGGGCTTTCTCCATGTTGGTCAGGCTGGTCTCGAACACCCGACTTCAGGTGATCCATCCACCTCGGCCTCCCAAAATGTTGGGATTACAGGCATGAGGCACGGTGCCCGGCCAAGACATGCTATTTGAATATAAAACAGAAATCTCGGTACACTGGGAACCCTCAGGCCACAGACCGTTGGTTTATATATACTCACACCTCGGCTTGGCCTTTGAAGCTTAAGAAGGCATCTGCTCAGTCCTTTGTTCTAGTCTAGGATGACTCAAATTCATGGTAGGCCTCAGAGTTGGACAGCCCCCTAACATGGATGCCTCCTGAGTGTTTGCAAGAAGCATGAATGGATCACTTATCTCCCAATGTGGCTTATTTCATTCTTATAAATAGCTACATCATTTTAAGCTTTTTCCTTGGATTGCAGTGAAATTGGCCTTCCCATAACTTCTAATCATTAATTCTAATTCTATTCTTTGGGCTGGCACAGATTTAATCTTGTCCTTCATGACAATACCTGAAGACGTTTCTAGTGGACCCCACTAGATTATAAACTCCTTGAGGGATTGATTTAAATGACAATGACACTACACCTAATGGAGGAAAGAGATCCAGCTCTCATTTTATACTCTCCACAGCACTGAGCAAGACCCTTTGCCCATCACTGGCACTGCAGAAAAATGAGAATGAAT